TGTAGGACAGCAGTGTTACCAGATGCAATATAAAAGAGGATTTGGAGACAGCCTGAGTTCAGACAGACTATAAGGATGATGCTGGGAATGAAGAAATCTCAGGACCTCAGTCATTACAGCAGCTCTTAGGTCTTCTGTCAGCTCTGGGCACTCTAGATGCAATTTTCAGGGGTTTAGTTCAACACAGAGTAGAATTTTTTTCTAGGTTGACTGGGTTTTGAACAAGGCTGTCACAAGAGTGCTTTTCTCCCACAGTCAGTTCTGTGTAGTTTTATGATAGAAAGTTTTGGTTATAAAATAGGCAAGAAGATTACTCATGGCTTGGTGTTCTTTCCTTTTTTTTTTTTTTTTTTTTTTCTTCTTTTTTTCCCCCTTCCTTATTGCTCTGTGCTTTTAGGGACAAGGCAGAAATAAAGCTACAGTTTAGCCACTTCCACATCACCAAGAAGTACAGGTGCCTGCAAAATCATGAGTCATATTTTTATTTCTTTCCTCCCTTTCTAGCTACTTCCACATCAAGAAATGAAAGGGTGCAGGCAGGCAGGCGCTCCTTCTTGAGAAAACTTCAGTTATTTTGCAAACAAATGATTTTTTCTTCTGGCATCAAGGAGATATGGAGCTGGGTTTCACTGAAGTATCTCATGTTTGCTATGTCTGTCCCTTTGCCATCATTACTGTGTGATCCTGCTGCTGCTGCAAACCTCTTAATGTTCTCTCTGCTGTTCTTCTTCAGCCAGATTCAGCCCTAAATCTGTAGTGTCTGCAGTGAAACATCATCCATGCTACCATAGTGAGGAACTTCTATAAAGTGAGATATTTGAAGAAGAAAAAAGGAAAAGAGCATATGAATGTTGCATCTACTTTAAGGGAGCCTGAACTGAAAATCAGAGCAAGAGAAAACCTCTAATTCAGAACTCAGACAGATCAGTGGTGGCCAGATAAATTGTTTTTAATGCATTGCAGTACCTCTGCTTGCTGATAAAAATAAATGTTCTTCTCTACTGAAAATACTGCATTAGCATACTTTAATGGCAAGTGATGCAAACTACAGATCTGCACCTACAAATGCACTAAACCCAAAAAGCTATTGAGTATTAAGGATCTTGAAGGAAATGTAATATATAGGTTTGAGTATTCTCTAGAATAATCATGATTCTAAGAGTCCAAATAAGCATAAATCATTGGGTGAGACAGTATACTAAACATTTACTGCTGCAGAATGAAAAATGTATGTGAAGACAAAATTTTATTCATCGCAGGAGTTAGGGTAGACATGCCTTTGCTACTGAGTCAAACTGACTGCTCTCGTTTATCACACATATCTAAACAAGCATTTTCTAAATCTGAGGGGAGATTTAGAGCTTGGTTTAGAAGATTTAAGTGCTCTCTTTTTAGTTTGATTTCATAGACAGTAGAAGATAGTAAGTTCTCTTCTAAAAGCAACCACAACATCAACAAAATAAAAAAAAAAATAAAAATAAAAAAGCTCACTTCTAATAAGCACTGACACTCTGCCTCCACAAAACTTGTGTAGCTTTCCTTATTATATCTCTTTGCTCTCTGTTAACCTTTGCAGAACTTCAGGAGTTAAAAAGCATCTTCTCTTTCTGCAAAAGCATGCTGCTTTCTTTCTCTGTTTTTTGTGCAGTGTATTGCAGAAAACACCCAACACCAAAATGCCCAATATCTTCATGTTGTATTTATGTGGAATCTAGCAAAGAAGCAATAAGATGTGGACCGTGATGGATGTTTCATGGAGGTGGCAATGGGTGGAGTGAACTGGAAGCATGAAAACATTCTATAGCATTCCCCCTTCAGAATGGAGCAGCAGAAGAAATGAAGATGCCTTAAACCATGGCTTAGATTTCCATCTTTTCAAAAGAGCTGTACAAGGATGAGAAATTATTTTATTTTAAATATTATTTTTTTTTTTTGCAAACTGCTTCTGAAAGAAAATCTTTCTGTGATATTCCAGAATGAGATCAGATGAGATTTACCCAGTGAATCTTTGAATCTTCCATGTCTCTTGAAACAAGAATTTGAAGTTGAGTTTGTCTTGCTCCTCTGATATTATTGTCATTGTGTTCAGCTGAGCTGCAATTCCAGCTCCCATATGAATCTCTCTGTAGAAAGTCTCAGGAGCAATAGACAATCTAGTAGATGGCACAGATATATTTCTGAAGCCTACAGATTCTTCTGGAATCTTCCGGTAAAGTACAACTGTTCTGGGGACTAATACTATTTTGGATAAATACTGTCAAATCAATCACGGGAGAAAATAACAATATGTACTTAATCAGAAGTCTCATTCTTAAACATGCTTCTTCATTAAAAATAAAATAAAAATAAAAGGAAAAAGTGTATTTTCTGAAGACAACTTTATAAGGAAAATATAAATTCTCACTTCATAGACTCAATATAAATAGCTAGACAAATAAAGGTGATCTCAAAACTGCACCAAACATATGTCTGGATTCTGTAAGAATAGCTTATTTTTGTATTGTTTTCTTGTGTTGTAGTTTAAGTGACCTCACACTGACTCTAAAATATACACATAAATGTTGACACAAATCCTTGAGAGTGTTTTACATAGAATTGATTATACCATAGTGCAAGAAATGAACTAATTGTTTATCTACATCACCTTCCCTGGGGTTAAGTAGGTAGAGAATGGTGCTTTAGTAACTTGAACATGGGCCTGTGTTATTTTATAAAGGCTAAGTAGAAAAAAAAATAGCAAAAGATTCAAATAAGTTTTCTTACCCAGAACTTCAACCTTGGAGTAACAAAGGCCATTGCTAATCAATTTACTAATCCGTTTACAGTTTTCTACCAAGGCATAGTTCCAAAAAGTAGCTTCTGTTCAGTATTTCACTGCAGGGCACCAATCACTGTAGTGCAATCCATGTGGAGATTTATGGACCTCAGAGTGGTACACCTTAAAAACAATGTATTAACCAGAAATCTACTGTGTGAGCAAATGGGAAATGCTGAAGCTACAGATTTCCTTTTTTCTCTGGGATGTGAAAGCCTTAGTCAGTGCATCTTTGAGGATTTATGCTTCTGGTCTCTCCCCTGAAGGTCTCTTTTCTTTTGAAACACTGCTAGAAAGTTACTCAGGATTGATCTTGATACAAATCCAATGTGAAAAGGAGGTTGTGCAGCCCCGCAGTGTGAGACCCAGGCGTGAGTGTTACAGTATGATGGACTGACAGGTGAGGCTTCATTTCCATGAGGTAGAGTGAGGTTGTTCTCAGCAATTTCAAGTGTGGACTCAGTTCCCTTAACTGCCTGAAGAGATCTACTTTTACATCTCTAACTTTCAGATAACTGCTATACCTGATAAACAGCACATCCTTAAGTATGTGCTTAAGAAAGTGGAGTAATTTTTACAGAGATAATGGGAGCATTACAGCCACCACAGAAAGACCAATTCTCTACTAGAATATGATATATGGAAAAACTGATTTTCTTCAAGCAGAAAAATGCATTGAATCTTTGTACCCTATAGTTTCAGTTCTTAGCTAATGTGATGATCAATATTTCAGTCTACACTGCAGTAATCTGGCTATGTAGGGGAAACTACACAGTGCCTCTGCAGCACACAAGAGAACACAGAAAATGTGTCTTAGGAAAACAAACAAGCAAACAAACAAAATCCAAACAATGAAACAAATAACAAATCAACAAAAAACAACAAACCAGATTCTTACTTGCATACACCACTGTTCCTTTTTAAGAAGGATGAGTACTCCTTCCAGTCAAGTTTGAAAAAACAGCAAGAGCCACTGCTGCCAGATTTGTGAGAAGAACAGCTGTATAGTTTATTGAGCGAACACATTATGGCTGAGGAATAGGCAGTTCTGTGGATATTCAAAGAGACTTGGTGTGAAATACATTTTCCCTTGATCTGCTCACAGTGTCAGCATTGACTACATCTTAGTGTGCTAAGAAGTAGGACTTTAAAGGATTAAGAAACTCCACCAAAGAAATCTCAGAATTGTGTAGGTATTTCAGGAGTTAGGAAGCAGTCGAATGAGGATAAGATATATTTTGAAATAATGTATCTAATCTGCTTTAGATACCCCACTTCTGTTTTTTCGATCCACTCTGAAGCTCAGATTCCATTCTTGCCTTAAAAGAGAAAGTGCACTGTAATTGCATGAGATAACCTGACTGTGTAAAACAGTGTAAATGAACTAATGTGTAAGAAATAGGCAGGTTTTCACCCATGTGAAAAATTTAAAACTGATCACCAGTTCTTCCCTGCTGAAAAGAGGGAAATCTTTGCAGCTGTACAAAGTTGTGCCTGAGACAGCAATTTACTGCAAATGCATTCTGGAAGTGATTAGTATCTCAAAGATAATCCCAGCTGAGAAGAAAAAAAAAAAAAAAAAAAGACCTCCTCAGTGGAGGACATTGTAATAATGATGACAATAGAGTTACCTCCAAACCCAGTGTGATACGGAGTTAAGAGCAGGTACAAAGTAGACAAGAGAGAAAGAATCTTATCATATTTAATATTCTCCTCATCTGTTTAAAAATAGTGATCCATTATGGTGTGTGTGTATTACTTTGACATGATATCTAGATCAATTAATTGTTGATACAAGTTTTAAAATATATCACTGGTGTTTGAGTCTGTATTCTGTAACAGGAACATGGGACTCAGTAGACATAAAGAGCTACAAAAACTATGGAATCTTGTTCCATGATTTAAAAGAGTCTTCATGATGAGGAAGACTATTGGATGATATAAAATGTATTTGAAAATGCATTTTCATTCCTTTGCAGAAAGGAATGAAATTTTCTTGCTCAGAAGAGTAAGCTGACAGATTCTAATAGTCCCTCATGTGCTGTGCCTGATAAACATTCAGCTTATCTTTCCAAGAACAATAAAATTTCATGTACTACTGTTCGACAGAGGAATTATTTTTACATATCTCCATGCCACTGACTCTCTTGTAAGTTAATCTCATCTCTCATCAATTTTTCACCAGCTTCACTCTGATGTTGATAAAGGAGATGGTTCCATCAAATACATCTTGTCAGGCGAAGGGGCAAGTTCCATTTTCATTATTGATGAGAACACAGGGGATATTCATGCTACAAAGAGGCTGGATCGAGAAGAGCAGGCCTACTACACACTCCGAGCACAAGCACTAGATAGGCTGACTAATAAACCTGTGGAACCAGAATCTGAGTTCGTCATTAAGATTCAGGACATCAATGACAATGAGCCAAAATTTCTGGATGGTCCTTATACTGCTGGAGTTCCTGAGATGTCTCCTGTGGGTAAGTGCAAAATACACTGTTGATGTTGTGGGAATTTTTTTCCTATTGTGTTTTTTTTAAAAAAATCATTATTTTTTTACTGTATCACAATAAGTTGCTTAATTATCTATGAGCCACCTGCAACAGTTAGATATTTCAAGGCTGAACTGAAAATAGCATACTAGATTTACCCCTCAAAAATGTTGTGAAACTCAAATAGCTATTCAGGGACTCAGATAAGCATTTTATGATGTATTTCTCATTCTAGTGCCCAGAGGCTTTGTCTTGTAATTCTCATTAACAATAATAAGTTTCACACCTATGCTATGGTACTTACAAGTGATAATATATCATTTTGTTCAGATAAAGTCTGTTCTTAACAAATTCTTCATATTCCTACCAATGCATAACAGTTTGGTAAGTGTTGCATATATTTGTAACAGTTTATTGTGTATCTTTTCTAATACTCAAATCCAGCTCTCTGGGAAATAAATGCAAGTAGCAGATATTGGGGTACAGCTGGGGGTAGTTGATAAAATTCCAGTAGAATCAGGGAAGAATAGCTATTAGAGGCTTCAGACCCTCTGTTAGAAAAGGAGTGAAGCTTCTATTCCTGACTTTGAATTATAAAAGAATTTCAACATCAAATACGCCATCTCTTCATTTTAGAGAGAACAAATGTTTATCTGTTGTCAGGTGCTTGTGTTCCTTCAAAACCTGTCTGATTCAAGACAGATAAGAATTTTGCCCAGAGACATTTTGTTGAATTTTAGTATATCTTCAAGTTCTAAATACAAGCGTGACATTAAAAAGCATAAGAACTTCATCTATGTCAGTGGAAATACATGTATGGGAATTCCTACCTCAGGTTAAGAAAGTTTTATGGTGATTGAAAGTAAGAATGTCTTTGTTTGACTGATTTTAGACCATAGCAAAATTTGACACTTAAGTACTTAAGTGACTTCTTAAGTAAGCTGCCAATATAGAATTTGATAGAGTGTTTTCAATACTTTTTTTAATAATTTTTTATTTTTATTTCTATTTTTATTTTTGGACGTTGAACAATGCCTCTAAATTAGAGATAGAGAGAGGAAAAAAAAAAGAAGAAAAAAAATAGAAAAAAAATAAAGTCTTCCCTGCCTGCGTGCCATGCAACAATCATTCGTCAACACTGCTTTTACATTTAAATCTCAATTTAGGAGCCAACAGAATATTAGTAAAACTATGTTAATGAGTTTTCTATTTATTTATTTTACTAACCAGTGAGCATAAATACATAGACATCTTATTCATTATCACTCAAACACTATGTGAATAGCTGAAGAAGCAGTAGCATCCGTGGAAAGAAGGATGGACACCATAGCTTTTGAGCAACATTAGGGTGGATATGATATTGTGATACACTGATGAGAACTTTTGCCTACTGAACTTGGCAAAAATAATCAGATAATATAAGACTAAAACCTATAGTTAGCACTGTAGAAACATGCTCTATATATATATATAGAGAGAGAGAGAGCAATTGATGTTTTGTTTTAGGATTTGATTGTGAGCTGTAGAATGCTACAATAACTAGATTTTTACACCTTTGTCCTTCTCCTTTAAGAATAATATCTCTTAATATCTCTTAATTTCCCTCTTGGAGGAGTTATCACTTTCCTGTCCTGTAGTGATATATTGACATATGAATGACTCTGTAAATATCTGGGGTTTGCCTATACACACAGATCCTTGCCCCAACCTCCCACAGATGTTCCATTTGTTCCAAAAACACATTGGGAATCAACTCTTGGGAAGCGCATGATAAACAATGGGTGACATAAGGACTGTTTTTCAAAATGAGATGGTTTTGCATATTTTGATGAATCTTTACCACATGAGTGTTTGAAAGAAATTCTATCCCATACGGACAGCAGCACGAAATATATGTTCAATTTAGGTAGAATGTTGTACAAAATTATCATTAACTGTACCTTGTGCAGTCTCTAAGATCTGTGTTGAGGCAGGGCAGTTTCATCTTCATGAACTTCCTGGAACTGTACATTTAAAATATCTTCAGTGTTTCTATCACACATCTACTGAATACTGAAATATTACTAAATTAAGGATTACCATGAAGTGCTTATGTGGCACTTGTCTTACGTAGTTACATAGATCCATAGTTTATTCATATAACACAACTTTTAATTAACCACTCAGAGCATTTGTAAGATATTGAGGCGAAACAAAGTACATTTTTCTCCTAATTTTGCATGAAATTATATCTACGACAATGATTTTTAATTGGATATTTAGCAAAATGAAAGAGATCACAGGATTATAAACCCAAATTAACTATAAAGCTAGAACTATCACCTTTAACCTTAAGGATGGTTATGCAAATGTAATGATTCTGTATTATATTTGGCAAATATTTTAGGGCATTATCTAAGGCTAATTGAAGTCAATATTTTCTGTTATTTTAAATGACTTTGGGTCAGGTTCAAATTATATTTGGGTCTGGTCCAATTATACTGATTAAGATGAATAGGGTAAATATCTTGATGGCTTATAAATATATTCATAGCAAAACCCTCAAAGATATGGCTTATCTGAAAATCATATATATTTAAGTAGTCATTTTACTTAAAAACATCTGGCAGTTTTATATTTCAAAGAAAAAGTTTGTCAATCATACTTAAAAGAGTATTAAAAGAGAATTCCTGGGATGTGTGATGTTGTACACAAAAACAGCTGAAGTGAGACAGACCCATTTGGCTTATAACCAAGAGAACTGGCAATAAAAAATCCAATGAACAACATAGCTTTGGCTTTGTTTCATTTTCTAGACTCTCCGCACATATGAACGAACAGCCTTACTTATTACCTAACACAAGTAATGCCTTTCTTTCTTGTTACATTTGTTATATCTGATTGAGATGGATGGAAAAACTTCATATTTATAAAAAAAAAAAAAAAGTGATTCATCCAACCTTGATCCCAATCTTGGGATTTTTCCCAAGTGAAGGCAGACTAAAGAGGGATGAGTGTAGAACCTGCTTCCAGGTACTGTGCCTCCTACTTTGTGCTCTTGGAGGGGAAAAACTGTCAAGGCATTATGGCACCAGATCTAGCCCAAAGGCAGAAGCACAGAAATACCAGAAGCTGTGGAGCAAAACCAGACTAGATAATCCAGGCTAGGTAATTGCATTTAGAGATTAAGCAGGTATTATGGATACCTTGTTAATAATATTGCTTAGTATTTCTGGTAGAAACTGCTATCCTTTAGAAATATGAAGCCATCATAGAATTGTTTCGCATATTATACATCATTAATTTATAATAGTCCATATCTTTAGTAACTGTCTGCCTAGATTTAATTTTTTAATATGGCTAAAATTCTATTTTTCAGGGCTTGTGTAGTTTCAAAAATCTGTATTTGTTAAATTCATCTAATTTTGGAAACCAATTTTCCCTTAAATGATTTTACCAGTGTTAAAAACTGAAGTAACACGCATTTCTCATACAAATCTATTTTAAAACTTTGATCAAGTACTACACACTGCAATAACAATTAAAAAAAAAAAAAAAGAAAAAAAGAAAAGAAACAAAAAAACTCTGTAGAGAGGTTTCTAAAACAATAAAACAATAAACCTAGAGATTTAAAAATGATCCCTGTGAAGTATCTCCATCTCAAAACAACATCAACAACTAGCTCAACCAGCTCAGCTCACTTTTATTTGATCCTATCACAGAAAAGGCTGATCTCTGCAACATCCGACACCTCTGTGAATCTTGACTGGTAAAATGAAGTATAAATATAATTCTAAATTCTGGGTGCCTTCAACAAAAGAACCTCTTCTCTTCTTTTTGCCTCATATCAGAACTTAAACACATCATGTTCTTAGATAACTGTTATATTGTGAGATAACTGTTATATTGTGATATCTATTAGTGTCTGTTAAAGGTTAGGTTAAAAATGACAGCTTAAACATTCTGGATAAACAAAACAAACAAACAAACAATCAAACAAACACCATTAACAATAAAAGCAACAAAACAGAAGTCTGTGCTATCCATGCAGAAGCCAGTGTGTTATTAGCTATATCATCAATAGCAAAATATGTGGAACATCCATATAGCAGCACAGATTTTCCCTCAATATTTGCTGCAATTGCTTAAAAACTTTATGAAGAGGCTTTATGTAGAATTCATTTAGATGAACTGACATCGTAGCTTTGCTACAAAGCCCTAGACTATTGTATAGAAAGATAATTGTAGATAAATCCATATCCAAGAGGAAAATACATGATTTTTCAGTAAATGTCCGTTGTCTTTTCAGCCTGTATCATATACAAACTACGAGAAATATTTAAAGTTGAAGTTGTGAAGCTACAGGCTATAACTGCATGTTAATGGGTTTGAGATAGGGTTAGTGTCCTGTTTCTACCTCAATCTAGGGCTCTGAACAATGCTGCAGTATAGATTTACAGCACCAACCAGTTCATTAAATGAAAAAAAGATGTGGTTCTGTTTGTAGACTGTCCCATGTTACCTTTGATTCCACCATTACTTGGACACTTACATGATAATTGCTTGCCTCTGTTGTGAGGTCAGGGAAAGTGTTCAGGAAGAACAATTTCAGTAAAGGAACACATCTCTTGCAATGTTGATCCTCTTAAGGAATCCTTATTCTTCAAGAGAAATTTTCCTCTGGGAAAATATCTCTGGAAATCTCTACTGATCTTTCTGTGTATTATGTTTCCTTGCAACAGATCTCCTAAAAGTAGGTCTATTCACATTGTTAAAACACCTTATGTTAGATTGCCTATATTATTATCATTTTTTTAAATATATTGTGCAAAAATCTCCCTCTGGACATAGAATTTCTGGAAATTCAGTTTTTTGAACACAAATCTCAAAGAAATAATAATAGTAGCTGTTTAAAAAATATCTTTCCCATGAGCTTTGAGAAAAAAAAAAAAAAGCGTAAAGGGACTAGGAAAATATCATCATTTTCTAGTTGCTGATTACAGTCAAACAGGATGAGTGCAGAAATATTTGGAGTTAGAATTTCTGCCTAATTTTGTTTGTATGATTGTTTGTTTGGTTTTGTTTCTTGTAGATATATGTGTTTGAAAGGTAAAATCATCAGTTTAGGGGAGAACCAATTAGATTCAGATACTGGCTTTACTTATCTCACAGAATGTAGAAGTCTTGCTTGCCACATCAGTAGATATTTTACAACAAACAATTCCTTCCAAGATTGCAGGATTTCTGTGATGAGATTGCAGAGTTTGTAATTTCTTTGATCTTTTATTGGTCTGAAGTCCTTGAAAGCACCAAGAACAAGGAGCAAAGGCACAGCTCCTTGAGGTTTATAAGAACTTTCGCCAATATTTGCAGACATCGTAAGCTTCACTGTCAGGGCTTAGAGACAGTGTAAATGTGGTAAGCTTTCACAAAAAACACAGGCTGTCAAATAGTCATTAGGACACCTTTGTACTCAAAAGCTTAAGAGACTCTGGAAAATTTAAAATAGGTCTCCATATGGATAACATTATAAAGTAATCTGTAAAATCAGTTTGACATACTGAATCAAAGCTCTTAATGATGAACAGAAAATTGATATATTTTAAGCCCTGTAACTGATAAACGACTTGATGGATTAACTATCAATTTTCTTTTTAAACTTCTCATCTACTTAATAGTTGCACATGAAATTTCAGGTTGAGAGGGACCTTCTCTCTGTACAAAAATATTGAAAGAGAGAGAGAAAAAAAATACATTTGAAATAGAATTTCAAACATAATGCCTTGCCATTGATACTTTAGGAAGAGAGGTCAGGAACGTGGGTTAGTTAGGTCATATATGAATAAAGTTATCTTATGAAAGATGATTTCTGGTCAGAATTCATTCAAGTAAATCTCATCTTTTGTTATTTGTACCATTTTATAAAGGGCATCATTTTATCCTCTTTCTCTCCGAACCTTCAACCTGATCCCAAGACCCATTTACGATCTTCTACTTACCTGAGAATAGAAAAACTAAAGAGAGTGAATGGTGCACATACTATACTAAACATGAATTATTTCAGAACTTTCTCTCATCCTTTCCTGAGTAAGTCAAAATAAAACTAACCAGAGTACAATGTATGTTGAATTCATCCTGGTCACTTGTTATGGCAGTTTGTTCTTAAAGAATGATTTCTGGATTTGCTGCTCTCATTTTCACAGAACAAAAATGTGTTCAGTTGGAAAACGAACACTCTTTTTAACAAATGTTTCTCTCTAATCTTGTTTCTAAATCCAGTTTAATAGGGAATATGATCCTCAGCTGAAGATCTGCACTGGGCATCTGCCAAATTGCTACAATATTAATTTGCAACCTAACCTCCAAATGGGTCCTTGGGCTGTTGAGTAGAAGGTCTCAATGTTCCAGACAATCTGCCAGTGAGAAATAATAATCCTTTCCACCTATCAAAGGTGGTGACCACAGCCAAGACCCTGGCTCCCATGTGTTGGCTTATTCTGAACTCAGAGTGTACATCATGTACAGAACAAAAACAAATGGTAACTTACATAGAGAACATAATAAATAGGAGAGGGATGTTGAATGACATTCTCACAAATTACACCCTTCTTGCTAACCAGTTAAATATGTTGCTTTCTTATTCCTGTTAACATACAGACATTTATCCTAAAGAAATATTTATGTAGCAGATTATGACCTCGTGTTACTGAAACATTGTAGATACAGAGGAAAATGAGTACTTTTTATTTGGAGGTATTTATTTATTTGGAGGTATCTCTCACTTGTTTGTTGTCTGAGCTGAAATAGAAACTTTTCAGTCTTCTCTTGTATAAAAGGGCTAGTAATGTTATAGACTAAAATTAATTTGTATATATATGTGTGTATTTATAAATATTAAAATATGTAATTTATGTGAATATGCTTATATTTGAATCTGTATTACTCATAATTTATAATTTTAATATGTGGACTTCTCTTCAAAGGGAAATTGTTACTATATTTCATACTTGATATTTCATAACATATTTCAGGCATAATTATCAACCATACTTCAGGCTTCATCATTGCTTAAAACACTGTTCATTGGAAGTTTGTTCTTATATATACCCTCCACCAACCAAATTTATAAATAGAGAGAGGAACTACTGAGTGATGTGGTTTCTGTTACTGTGAGTTAAACTCTGAGACTATTTAGGAAGAACAAATTCTATAACGATTAATATTATTGCTTTACAAAAAGAACCTTATATTCTAGGCAGAATCATGGAAGTGATGAACAGCTGTGAAAAAGACACCTCACACTGTTCCATTGGAACTGCATGTTGCATGTAGTTCAGATGCATGGATCTTTTACGTACAATAGTTCCTTAAACATTTTGCAGGTACCTCTGTGGTTCAAGTAACAGCCACTGATGCAGATGATCCTACTTATGGCAACAGTGCCCGAGTGGTTTACAGCATATTGCAAGGACAACCTTACTTTTCTGTGGAGCCAAAGACAGGTAACTTTTCACAAACTCTCTCTACAGTAATGCTGAGAAAAAAAAAAAAAAAAAAAAAAGCATGTGCATTAAAATTTGCTAGGAATTTATTAATGTGATCTCTTGATTAATTGAATACCTTATGATTTTGTTGATCTTTTACTCTGTTATTCTTCTGAATATACCACAAAATTAACACATCTGAGCAATTTGATAAGCTTATATTGTTGAAACTGAAATTTCACATCTTTGTCAATCTACCAGCTCCCTGGTCTACTGCCTGTTTCAGTATTTCTGAACAATGAAAATTTCAAGATGTTGTGAACATTTGCTTCATTTGTTTGTTTTTATTTGTTTTGTTTTCAGATATTTGTTATGGAAATGTCCAAATGTCACCTACTCACCAGATTTCCTAAAGTGTAGATTTATGGCATGACCACCTCACTCCTTCACTTTTCAGACTGGGAAATGTATTTTTTATTCACTAGTTTGAACCAGAAATCATTGTACTTCCCATCCTCATCTGATACATTATCCTTCTGTCACTTTCAAAACAAATTATTATATTTTTAATTACTATTTTCTTGAAATTTTGTGAAAATGTATTGTGTATTTTCAGGCACACGAAAACACAATCTTTATTCCTTTTTTAATATTATTTTATTTTTTTTAATAAAAATTGCCCATTTAACTGTATATTTTGCTCAGTTTTGGGTCCCCCACAACAAGAAGGATATTGAGTTGGTCTTTTGTGTGCAAAGAAGAGCAACAAAGTTGGTGAAGGAACCAGACAACAAGACTTATGAAAAGTGACTTGGGGAATTTTAACCTCATGAAGTTCATTCAACTTCATGAACTTGCAAAGAGCAAGGTCCATCTGTGCCAGAGCAATCCTAAGCACAAATACAGGCTGGGTGTACAATGGATTGACAGCAGACCTGAGGAGAAGGACCTGGGGATATTGGTTGACATGAAATTCAGAAAGGAGTTGGAAAAGTTGGAAAGACAACCATATACTAGGCTGCATCAAAAACTGTGTGGCCAGCAGGTCAAGGAAAGTGATTCTTCCCTGCTGCTCTGCTCTCGTGAGACCCCACCTGGAGCACTGCATTAGGCTCTGGGACCCCTAGCACAAGAAAAGTATGGATGTATTAGAACGAGTTCAGAGGTGGTCCATGAAGATGACTGGAACACCTCTCCTATGAAGACAGGTTGAGAGAGCTGGGGTTCTTCAGCCTGGAGAAGACAGGACTCCAGGGAGACCTTATAGTTGCCTTCCAGTACCTAAAGGGGGCCTACAGGAAACCAGAAGGACTCTATCAGGGAATGTAGTGATACGAGAAGGGGTAATCTTTAAACTAAAAAAGTGTAGATTTAGATTAGGAATTAGGAAGATATTCTTTACTCTGAGGGTGATGAGGCACTGGAACATGTTGTGTTCTGGAGAAGTTGTAGATGCTCAATCCTTGAAAGTATTTAAGGTCAGGTGTGATGGAGCTTTGAGCAACCTGATTCAGTGGTAGGTGTCCATGGCAGAGAGCTTGGAATCTTTGAGGTTCCTTCCAACTCAAACCACTCTATGACTGTGATTCTGTGAATTGAGGCTGCAAAGTCTGGAGAAGAGGAGGTTGAGGGGAAACTTCACACTGTCTGTAACTACCTGAAAGGAGGTTGCAGCAAGGAATGTGTTCGTCTCTTTTCTCAGGTGACAAGTGATAGGATGTGAGGAAATGGTACCAGCTTGTACCAGGGGAGTTTTAAATTGGACATTAGGAAGAATTTCTTCAGAGGGATGTTGGTCAAAACATTAGAAGGGGCTGCCCAGGGAGTGATGGAGTGTCCACCCTTGGAAGTTTGGCTTTGTGATGAGACTCAGTAGGTCAGGTTGATGGTTGGACTTGGTGATCTTGAAAATCTTTTCCAAATTAAATGATTTTGCTATTCTAGCAAAAATTTTGCTACTTAGCATGCATGGAGAGAAATTATAATCTCCATTTCAGAGATGGACATGCTGAGGCAAAAGAGAAACAAACTATTTACTCTATTTCTCATTTAAAAAAAATGTGTTGGGAAACAGACCTGAATCCTAATGTTGTGACCAAAAAGTTACACTCCATTTAACAGCATCTAAATTTGCATAAATAAGCAGTATAAACATATTCATATTACAACAAATCTGTCCTCAATATAGTATTTTTTTCCACAAGAAGATATGATACATAGTATTTTATTTTTGGCTTTCTATGTGTATGTACAATGTATATTGTCACAATGACTGCAAACAGTCCCTGACCAATAATATGGTATTTTCTGCTAAATCAGAACCTTTAAAGATTGAGACTGGAATGTTTGCATTCTATTTGATTTTGATGTGATACTGAAATTTCCTGTGTGCCTGATAATTAGCTTCCAAATGACTGTTTAACACTGCTTGACAATTTAAATATGATAGAAAAACAAGCAGTCCAGGAAAAATATTGTAGAGACAATAAAGTTATGAAATTGTATGTTAACTGTATTTTTTAATATGTTGTAAAAGGGGTGAAATAGTGCCAGGCAGTCTGTGAAGTAAATGTTTCAGCCATGAGTTGATTAATGGAAAGTCCTGAATTCAGAAGGGAAGAAAGAAATAAAACTGTAACTAAACATTCGGCAAACATCACATGCAGAGATATGTGCCCCAATGTGCCTCTCCTTTATTTAGATTGTTTATGTTTCCTTTACTGCTGACGCTAAGTGCTGCTGGAGTAAGCGGCTGCCTCTCTGGAAATCAGAGTTAGCAGCTGTACTGTGTGCTGAACATGAAATATTCATAAAGTCATCAGGTTTTGAGAAAGAGTATTTATTTTCTGATCTATATCAACAGAACTGAAAGGAGGAAGCATGGAGCTTTCTTTTGGTTTTCGTTTCAAATCAAATAATTACAAATTGTATGCAGATAATCAAATGGTTATAACAAAAACTTTATTTCAGATATAACAATATTTTCTTTAACAGAGGTATCTTAATTATGTTAATGCTTTAGAAGTAGTTATTTTTAAAGCAAATATTTGGTGAAATAAGATAATTGCATATATATGCAGAATGTGTCATGATATCAATATTTGTAAGAGTTAATGTGCTGAATGACTGTTGGGCATTGTAAAATGAATCTTGAACTTGGAATCTTGAAAGCGAGTACAGAATATGCTATTCTTACTAGCTGTAAGAGAGTGGAGATGATATCTTTCAAGGAAGGGGGTGTTACCTGAGTAACTTTGCAGTTAAGGGAGAAGATATTCTGAAAACATGGTCATGTTTTACCCAAACAATGTAACACAAACTGAAAAAAAAAATAAATAAAATGTGGTTTTCAGTGGTTTCACTACTTCTTCAATTAAGCTTGTAGTATGAAAGTTCAGTTCCTAGTAAAATATTATTAGTGTTTTTTCTTATCTTTTTTTTTTTTTTTTTTTTTTTTCAGTCATTGATTTGCTGCTACTATTTAAAGGCAAACTCAGCTTTCACGGCAATATATTTACTTCTGCAGCCATTGACATATCTTGTCTTACTGCAGGTGTAATCAAAACTGCCCTTCCAAATATGGATAGAGAAGCCAAGGATCAATATCTACTAGTTATTCAAGCAAAGGACATGGTTGGGCAAAATGGTGGATTATCAGGAACAACATCTGTAACTGTCACACTGACTGATGTAAATGACAACCCACCCCGCTTTCCACGACGTAAGTTACTTGAATTTTGGAATTATTTCTAAACATTGCTATTTTCTTTATATATTTTGTTATTTCTAAACAAAGAATAAAATTAGTCAACTTCCATGTCAAATACTTTGAGAACCACTGACAGCAATGTATATTACTATCAATAATGTTATTATTGCTACTACTACTAAATTGGAATATTATTTTTTTGTTTGTTTAGCTAATATATTTTAGAGCATATGAAATGAAGTAGGTGCATTTATTAAAATATTTTACTTCTTCACTACCAATAAAAAGACAAAATATACATGTTAACAGATCTTTATCTCTTTCCAGTTGGACTTCAGGATACTTAATTTCTTGACTGTTAATCTTTCATATTCCTTTGGAACTTAAGCAGGATTTCTCTCGTGTATAGTGTTTCATAAAAAGTTAATCACAGAAGAGCTGGACATTCATCTTCCCTCAGTTTACTTTCTTTCACCAAGGTGGCTCTCATCCCAACGGGAGAAAGGAATACACAGTTGTTTTCTCTTACCAGTTTATTAATAACATTCTGTCTGGGATAATTTTACAAAAATCACATGATCTTATAATGTCCTTGCAAAATAACACAAAAATAATGTGAAGAACTCCAGCTTCACCTACAACAATGTAAAACAGGCTTCCTACCATTAACTGTTTCAAGTAATCATAGAATAACAAGTTATTTTTGAAGTTGAAGATATTATCGGCTACTGACTGCATTCAGATATCCTTTTGACAGCATATATATAATTTTCTACTTGAATGAAAAAGCTGGAATTTTCAAGAGTGCAGATGATGCATTTATTGTCAAAGAATATATCTCAGTTTCTAGTCATATTCAGATTGTAAATTGCCTTACCAAGATATATGAAGGGATGAAAGTCATGGACTCCCGATGGCTCTTGAACAGGAGACCCTTACTGCCATTTTCTTCACTATATATATATTCCCATAGCCCCATGTGCTGCCCATGCACCCAAATTAGAGACCCTCAGACACACGCCTCAAGCCAGCCAGCAATTGGCCACTGCACAAAGTTAATCTTTAATGCTGCAGCCAAGTTATTTAACTCAACTTTGCTCAAGTCTTTGTTTCTACCACTTACTTCCTCATTATCTCTAGTTCAGGGACGTGTGAAACATTGCAAGACCACCTATGAATTCCTTCCCCTCAGATATAGGTTTATAAAGTAGTGTCTCTATATTAATTTCATTTGATATATTTACTTCTGTTTCCTCTTTTGTAGAAAATAAAGAAGGAAAACATCTTTTTCATTGGAAAGTTGCAGACATTTGCCTCATGACTTACATTTAAGTGTGTAAAGATGTTCATGCATCTTTGTCTTGTAATTTTTGTAGAAAAAAATGAGTACCCATAGTACTCAAATTAGAGTCCATCTATAGAAGGTCCAAACCTTCTATTAAAACAGAAGAATATTTTCTGGTAGTTTGAATAAATACTCAGATGCATGAATACAGAAGAATATATATAATACAATATATATTGTATATATGTATATATTAGCTTGCAGTCTCAGGAAACTATAAATTTATTAAACTTCTAAATTTCACAGGATCATATCAATATAATGTCCCAGAGTCTTTACCTGTGGCTTCTGTGGTGGCCAGAATAAAAGCTGCAGATGCAGATGTGGGACCCAATGCTGAAATGGAGTATAAGATTGTGGATGGTGATGGTTTGGGAGTATTTAAAATTTCTGTGGACAAAGACACTCAGGAAGGAATCATCACCATTCAGAAGGTAGGTCTCATTTTTCTCACTGATTCTGCTTGGGTCTGGGCAAGATAAGGGCAGGAACTGTGAAGGTGATTTTTTGTTTGTTTGTTTCTAAAACCCTTTTCTGATGTAAGAGTTTACATTGCTGAATTTCACCATGCATGTATGTGTACCTGGTTCTGAGCTTTCTAATGCCTTACAGTGAAAATTATTGTGATTTTTTTTTTTTTTTTTGGCAAGGGTTATTTTGTTTTATTGTTTTGCTTGTTAATTTATGTCTGACCCAGAACATACAAGCTTGAATGAGAATGTCAATTTTACTATCATTTTTCAGTTAAATAGAAAATGTGAAAAATATATCAGACATTAAAAATGTAAGCTCCAAATCTGAAATATATCCCAAGTCTAACAAATAAATAAATAAACAAAGATCAAATTATCTTTAGTCAACCTTGTTCTGTCCAGAAAGTACACATAATCTATATTAAAATTACGTATCAGTAAGACTAGCTGTTTTACAAGACAACTTACTATAAAAATATTATTTCAAAAAAAAAAAAAAGAAATATTTAAAGAAATATTTTATTTCAGCTTTCCATATATGCAGTTAAATAACTAGCATTTTAAAACAGAAAAATCAGGTTTATATAAAATATTAAAACTGAGCATTCTTGCCATACTGCAACACATTTTAAAAAATATCTTTTTTTCCAAAATAATAGTGGGCTGAAATATTTTGGCATAAATTTTCAATTTTGAGTAGAACAGGAAACCTAACAAAAAAAACCTTAGACAGAAGAACAAGATGTCTTAAAGTTTCACACTCTTAATATGAGAATGTTTGACAATGACTACACTGAAGCTATGGTCCTAACTGTTCTAAGCTATTAATCATCCTCTAAAATGTGGGACTTAGTATTTTAAGTGTAGCCATGTTACTGAATTCTGACATATTGTTACAATTACATTAATCCTCTAAGTGATTTCTCTTGCCTAGGTACTCTGTAATCTCTCCAAATTTCATGTACCAATTTTCATTATTTTTTCTCCTGGTGCACTGATTTCTTTCTAAAGCAATATAAATTTCAGTATCACTTCTCTTTTGAAATAAGTTAATACTGCATGATGTTGCAAAGTAACGGGCTAATTCTCTTATGCCCTGAACACCTGCTGAGAGCTGGTAAGCATCCATAGATGTCTGAGCAAATGTAGGATGTTCAGCATCCTTGAAAGATCAGGCTCTAATACATGAAAAGTAAATCATTTTTTTCAAGGCAAAAGCATTTGTCTGACACTTCTTGCATACTGTGCTAATTTCTGCTTAAAATGTTTGAAATACAAGTGATGAAAAGCTAGTTGACTCTGTTCAACAGCCAAATTAAATGTGGCTCCTTCAGCTCACTCATTTAAGGCTTTTGAGGAAAGATCTGGAAGAATTATACCCATTCTAGAGAGAGAGAGTGTTTATCAAGTGACACAGTGTGCAACACTGAATCAGTTGGGGGCTTCAACAGTCCTATTTAGGAGCTTATAAGAATGTTTTAAATTTTATGTTTTGGTAGTCACAGTGTTTGTTCTGGGACTCTCCTGATTCAAGTGAGCTAAATAATTGTCATTTATTATTTCTATCATTTCCATTAGGGAGCTGAACTGTTTTTTTCAGTAAAGAACTTTTGTTCTGAGAAATGCTCTATGAAATGGCTGTTGGACTGAACTAAAGAAGTTAACAAATTTTGACCCAGTGAAATAACCATTTGCTAATCTTTTTTAAATCTAGTGGACAATGCTGTAGATACAAGAATTCAGGCTTTTTTTTTTAATTTTATTTATTTATTTATTTTTCTCCTCTGCAGCATTACAATGTTTCTCTCATTTTTGTAAGATTACTAACTACCTTTCCCCTGTTTTACCTGAAAGTGAGTCCCCGCACTGAGGGGCACCTCCCAAACCTATTTGTCCTCTTAGGTCTCCACTGAATTCCAGGGAAATTCCAGTCTTGCTCAAGGCTGAAATATTTTCCCTACTAAACCTGCAAATAAAATGGCAGAGACCATTGACTTAGAGGGAAGAAATAAAATGAAGATCCCATGCACAGTAGCTATGAGACATCTTGTTCTTCTCTGAAGCACGTGGAACAAGCACATGGAAGGCCATTAACAAGTGTACACAGGTTAAATGAATTTCAGTTACAGAGCCTAACTTTATAGGCTCTGTAACTATGGAGTCAGGTAGAATTTATCCTTGTATGATGATGTGTGATTTTCAGTAAGGAATGAGGGAAGAACTGTAGCATGGAAACTGCCTAAACATTTTACTATCTGGCACATGATGTTCTGTACACCTCTGAGTGCAATTAGCTCTTTTCTTTTCATGCTACTAAAGTCAGCTGAGATACTGAGAAACAGCTCAGCCTCCAAATGTGTGCCTTTCATTTAAACTCATGTGTACATATATGTCTAGATAACACTTCTGCATCCAAATCAAGCAGTAAAATGCCATTGCACAGACTTCTGGAAAGGTGTGATTCTGTTCTAAATGTAAATACATGCTTTAATTTTGTGTACTTCTGCTCTAATAGTACATACAAATCAAGAAGCCAAACATCCAAATCACTGTCAGTATACGTGGGCAGCTGGAGGCACTACTCCATCCACTTTTGTGCTAGGTTTTGTGGAGAAAGTTGGCACTTGCTTAACAGAGTTCCACACACAAGCTGAGGATATGGTCTGTTCCTAGATAACCTTTTTGAAAAAATTTGAAACGCTGACCCCAAAACTAGTTAACTTATGTTAAAAAATATGTTTTAACTCATAACAAGAAAAAAAGAAATAAAGAAAAAAAAAGAAAGAAACAAGATTTAAGCATTTGGTGAAAAATGTATAATTTTTGTATTCTCCAAGTGGATGAAATATGAAATAAAATGCCCAAGGATTGGCAAAATAAAAATTCAAACAATGCATTTATATATATAAATACAGAAAACTGAACAAGTTTGAAAAAGAGATGTAATAAGGATAGAGACTGAATGAATAAAATGTTATGTAAACATAATGTTGTATGTATTTCCCAAGCTTACTTGTCTACAATGTCCTTGACTAATGCATGCTATTGGCATGAAAGTCTGATGAATGAGATGTGGATTGGCTTATTTATTTATTTATTCATGCACATTTAAACACGTTTCTTCTCTGTACTGGAAGAACACAGAGACTTTAAAAAAATCAGAAGTCAGAAAAACAAAGAAACAAACATTATTTTATCCTAACAGTGATACTCAGTGATATTAATCAATATATGAATTGTATGCTGTTTCATTTATCTCTTTTGCATTCCTAAATTCAGATATCAGCTTGGCTTTTGTGGTTTATTCTGGATGGATTTTTCTCTAAACAGAATAAAAGTTGCTCATAATTTTTATAGCCATGGCAAGACTAGAATATAAATGTTCTTGAGCATGCTGATGCTGTTGCTGCTTATTGCCTAATGTCAGTATATACAAGCTGCTGGCCTAAATCTTAGTTCAAGGTAATAATTTTACAATAGGCTGATATTCTTATAATAATTCCCTTGAGAATATGGAATAAAAAAAAAGAATGAATGCTTTTTTCTGTATTTTCTTCCACTTGGTCTTTGCCCCTCCAAAGAGTAAAGAGAATTGTGCTACCTTATTCATTATCACTGAATAACATGCATGCACTTTATAATTTGCTGCTCTATGGCTCTTCTTATACTTGAGACACCTTATTTTCCTATGTCCTGGTCAGCATGCTTGAATATGAATTAAATGAATGAGATGTGAAGCTAATGTGAATGTGTTGCAGCAAATTTCTTAAGTTCATTCAAGGAAAACTAAACTTCTACCACAATACATTAACTAAACTCATTAACTGAAAGTGCATGCAAGTAATATATGCAGTATGCATCTAGAAGGCATATAAAAGTATGTAAGCTGTTTTTAAGATGTCATGCTCTGTTTCCAACTTAAAAATATACCAAAAAAAAAAAAAAAAGTCTTTGTTTTTCATAAGCTAGAATAAACAAGAAGTAAATGGGACCCATAAGCAAAGATCAGTGAGAGAGTTTGGCTGTTCTCTAGCCCCAGACTATTTCTTTATTTTTATGCCTTCACCCCATAGGCACATTCTCTTTGGTAAATTCCTAAGAAAAATTCAGTTAGATGTCTAAGTTACATTTAAGGAGGATTAGTAAAACATCCACCTTAGGTGATGTTTTTGGAAAAATTTTCTTGTACAGCTTTTGAAATGGAATCAGGCATTTATATTCTTTAGAAGTATTTGAAAATTTTATCCTCATTCACACTGTGACTCAGTTTTTCCATCTGTAGAGTAGGATCAATTCCTTCCTGTGAATTCATTTGTAATTAACATACCGCTATCAATGCTCTGTTAGAAAGGACGCAAATCATTTACATACAAGCAGTATCTCATTTGACAGTGGTGAGGGTGTTTAGAAAAAAATGTGCAATTTTTCTGCAGATATTGGAGTTATAAAACAAACAAACAAACAAACAAAAAAACCTGTTGGATTAGTCTCTCTGCAGCAGCAGACTTAGAATTGAAGTAACATTTATGGAAGTGAATGATTAATCATTTAATAGAACAAATTTTGTAGTGTTGCAAATCTATGTGTGTACAATTTCAAAGTGAATTCAGGATTACTGTTCACAGAATTCTGATCGTAATACCCATGAATGGAATTTTTGATTTAATTACTAAGGACAAGAATACAGAGACCCCATTGTTTGGAGTTTCCAAAACACTATTCCTAAAAACAGTGCATTGAGAAAAGCATCGTATAAGTATGGCTTCCACTTTCTTTATAAAGTTGCAGGCTACAGTGAGACCTCAGTAATAATAATAGATGAGTGTCAAAAAAAATGTAGGATAAAACCTGATAGATAATATGCATCCTCCTACTTACTTGGTGTTTGAAGTTGTAGTGGTATTTAAAAATTGCACACAAAAGTGTGCAAGGTATATTTTTATTATGTGCATTATATGTAA